CTACCATATGGCCTAGGAATTCCCCTCTTAGGTACATATTTTAAAGCAACAATGCTAGCATACACATATACCAACATTTATTGCAGTATTATTTACAATAGTCAAAAGGTGGAAATAATCCAAATGCCCATGAACAGATGAGTGTATAAACAAAATATAGCATAAAATACATGGAATAATACTCAGCCATGAAGACAAATGAAGCCCTGATACATGCCACAATATGGATGAACCTTGAAAAATATTTTACTAAATGAAATGTATCAATCACAACACGATAAATATCGTGTGATCTCACTAATATGAAGTACATAGATTAGGTAAAATATAGAGAGATCAGAGCCCAATAGTAGCTAATAGGGATGAGAGAAAAAAGGAATGGGGGGGGCATTATTGTTTAGAAAGCACTGTGTTTCTGTTTATGGTGACGGAAAATTTGATAGAGGACATTGATGACGGTAGCACAGCATAATTGATGTAATTGGTCAAAGTGAATTATATATGTGAAAAACGTTGAGTTGGCAAGTGTGGTCTTATCTATATTTTTACCACAATATAAAATAATAAACTGAAGTGAAACAAAGTCAGAATTGCTGGACTATTTAGGGAGTTATCGTAGTAATCTGCTGAGAGACGAAGGTGGCTTGCACCAATCAGAGTGTTGGCAGAGGGGAAAGACTGGATGCTAGATATATCTGGAAGGCAGAAATGACAGAATTTCCTAGTGAGTCTGTACATGCTACAAAAGAGATGAGCGGTTGTTCATTGAGCTGTGGAAAAGCACAGAGGTCAACTGGAATATTAGTTCTTGAACATGGTAGGTTTGAAATGCCTGCCAGAAATTCAAGTAGAAAAGTTAAATATGCAGTTGGAGTTTAAGGGAGTGAGAAGGTACATGCTCCCTGTGGTCACTGAGTTAAATAAGGATAAAAGACATAACAAAGAGTCTTGGTCATGGTGACACAACAGTTAAGCACTCAGAGGTTAACCAAAAAGTTTGCAGTTCAAACCAACCCTCTATAGGAGGCTATAGGGGCTCTTTAGGAGAAAGACTAGCTATCTGCTTCCATAAAGATTACAGACAAGGAAACCCTATGAGGCAGTTTTACTGTCACATGTGGTCTCCATGAATGGTATCTGGCTCAACAGTACCAACAACAACAACAACAAAAGACATAACACAATTAATCCTGAGATTCTGAAAGCAGAGAGTGACAAATATGACAAAACCTTTCCTTCTTCGTATGTAAGGTGGGAATGATAACATAAAATCTATTAGAGAGATCAGGATGCATATAACAATTAGCCCAATGTGTGAAAATACAGTAATCCCCCCTTATCTACGGTTTTATTTTCTGTTGTTTCAGTTACCCACAGTCAAGCTTGATCCAAAAATATTAAATGGAAAATTCCAGAAATAAACAATTCATAAAGTTTAAGTTCTGAGCAGCACGATGAAATCTCATACTGTCCCATCCTATCCTGCCCAGGGCATAAATCATCCCTCTGTCCAGTCTATCAATGCTGCATTGATAACCTCCAGTTATCAGATCAACTACCATAGCATCCCAGTCCTTGTGTTCAAGTAACCCTTATTTTACTTAATAAAGGTTTCCATATGCAAGAGAAGGGATTCTGACAATTCAGATATGCCAAAGACAAGATGTAAAATGCCTCATTAAGGTGAAAGTTGTTAACTTCCTAAGAAAGGAAAAAAAAGAGCATGTCCAGATTGCTTAGATCTGTAGTAAGAATGAATCTTCTATCATGCAAATTTCATTACAGTATTTTGTTGTAACTGTTTTATTTTATTATAACTTATTGCTATTAATATCTTACTGTTCCTAATCTATAAATCAAACCTTTTTGTAGGTATGTACTTACTGGAAAAGAACATAGTATATATAGGATTCAGTATAATTTGGGGAAGTGCAGCCATAATGCTCCTTGGAAGCAAGAATGGCCAGACTTCGTCTCACCTACTTTGGTCATGTCTTCAGAAGGCGCCAGTCTCTGGAGAAGGATATTATGCTGGGCAAAGTGGAGGGTCAGCGAGAGAGAGGAAGACCCTCAAGGAGATGGATTGACACAGTGGTTGCAATTATGGGCTCAGGTGTAGTAAGTATTGTGAGGCTGGCACAGGACCAGGCAGTGTTCCATTCTGCTGTGCATAGGTGTCTATGAGTCAGACCTGATCAATGGCGCCTAACAGCAAAAACAGCAACTACTATTGTTGGTTTCACGCATCCACTGGGGATCTGGGAACATATTCCCTGTAGATTAGGGGTGATTACTGTGTCAAGAATCCCAGAATATAGTTTTCTCATAGCTTGAAAATTATCCCAGGATAGGGAATATTCCTTTTCATCCACGTATCTTCACTTCCAACCAAGTGGCTCATACATGTTGCATATTAAATATAGATATAAGTGACATATCTATATTTATAGATATATATTATATATATATTGTTGTTGTTGCTGTTGTTATTTGCCGTCGAGTCGGCCCCGACTCATAGCGACCCCTCCTTGGGTTTCCGAGGCAGTATCACTACGGAAGTAGGATTGCCCAACCTTCCTTCCGAGGAGTGGCTGGTGGGTTTGAACCGCCAGCCTTCTGGTTAGCAGTCAAGTGCCTTAGGCACTATGCTACCAGAGCTCCTTTTATATATATATATATATATATATATATATATATATATATATATAGTATATAATTATTAAGTAATTACTGATTTTTATTACTAACTTTTTAAATTTTAAGTATCTCCAAATCCTTTAATAAATACGGAATCATTTTCACTATCTAAAGAAGCTATCTACATAAGCTATCTAAATGAGCTGAATAGTAACCAATTCATTTAAATGCATATTATAACCTCACATTAGCATGCTATAATATTTCCATTTTTTAATTTTCTAATGTAAATATTCACATTAAAAAACTGTATGGAAATTAGCCATCAAACTTAAATTTTCTACTTGGTAAATTATTGTAAATTTAGGATACTGGACAGAGGCTTAGGATGGTGATGATATAAAAATTACTCATACCATTACACATACAGTTCCCTTCCCTCCTGCTTCTAGCAAAAGACAGAGCTTAAAAAGGAAAGTCTGTAAATGAGCAGTAATGCAATTTAATAAAAGCAATATGATAATGAATGGGAAAAAGAAGGTATTTGATTCAAACTAGCAAAAGTATTACACAAGCTGAAACTGAGACTTCAGATAGGAGGCATTTCAATATGTGCTGGAGAGTCTCCATTCAAGAGAAATAACTCAAGAATGACTGAAAATACCTACAAAACTGGCACAGAGTAGAAATAACCATTTGGGACTACATGTAAATCAAGAACAGAAAAGTTTTCAGGTTTTTAAAGAGACTGACTCATTTTAAACAATTTCTCATGTATACCTATGTTCACTGCAGCACTATTCACAGTATCTAAAAGGTGGAAACAAATCCAAATGCTCATCAATAGATTAATAGATAAACAAAATGTGGTGCAAACATACAATGGAATACGACTCATCTTTAAAGACAAATGAAGTCAAGATACATGTTACAAAACATGAACATGGATGAATTTCAAAAACATGATACTGAATGAAATTAGTCAATCATAAAAGGACAAATAATGCATGAATTAATTTATATGAAATGAAAAGAATATGCAAAGAAATAGAGAAGAACAGTTATTAGTGGTTGTCAGGGATGGGAGGGATAGTGAGAGAGGAAATCAATCTCTGGGAAGTAGTGAATTTTTGTTCATGGTAATGGGGAAATTGATACTGGCTAGGAGTACTGGTTACACAATTTGACATATGTAACTGGTATCACTAAGATGTACACCAGAAAAAGGATGATTTGGAAAATTGTGTTATATACAATTTTACAATTTTTTACAATAACAGCAGCCAAAATAGAATATTAAATAAAAAGAAAGGCAGGAGTTGTTGATATTATTACTATGACACAACTAAATACTTCACAGGATGAGTTTTATTAGTTTGAGGATTGAGGGTCATATTTTTGAGGACCTGTCGAGTGAATTGGTCTAAATTATTTATAGAGTCTCAATTCTACCTCCTAGTTCAGTAAGTAATTCCTGGGGTCTTAAAAGCTAGTATGTAGCCATTGGTATCTATTCTCCTAGAACAGCAGAGGAAGAAGCAGACTCAAGAATTGGAGAAGTAAATGGACTGAAGGTCTAAGTGCTTCCATGAACTATTATCTCCATTGCCATGAGACCAGAAGAAAAGGATAGTGCCTGGCTACCATCAAAAAGAGGAAAAAGTGGAATAGAATTTCAATCTCTTACGGAACTAGACTTTATGGACCTTTTGAGATTGGGAAACACATGAATCTACTGTCCTGAAATAATCCTTAGGACTTGAACCAAACACATCCAATGAATTCATCTTTAAAATAAACAATAGTTTAGCTCAACTGTTAAAGAATGTTTGCCTTGAATATCGCGTTCTTTTAAGAGGTTATGAGATCTATCTATATGAGATCAAATTGACAATGATACCTCTAAAGCACAAAAGAGAAATTTAGGGGACAAAGAGTCCAAGTTAATGGTGGTAAAACAGTATGGGTAGAATGAATTGTGAGACAATGAGAAGAATGTAACCAACATCACAGAAACGAACACGTACAAAATGTTGAATAGGTTTATGTTCTGTTATGTGCATTTTCACCAAAAATAAAATGAAAAAATTAATAAATACTTAAGAGTATTTATATTAGCAAAAAGTATTTATGGGTTGGTGTCCAGTATTAGCATTACACAAACAGACATTAAAAGAGAGAGATGCTTATAAAGAGACTACAAGAATTATAAACCTGTATTATGTGAGATCTGTATTAATTTAATTTGTGAGAAACATCTAAAACATCCTTGAAAAAATGAATTCTCTGTAGCATAATTAAAATTGCAATACTATTCAAAGTAATCAGTGGAAAAATGATGAAGATTGAATAAGATAACTTACCATTCATTTCCTTGTGAAGGGCTTTCTAGTAGCACTCGGATTATGTATAATAAGCAACTTAATAATTTGAGAGAAAAATTGAACAGACGAATTCTTAAACCTTTAAACAAACAAGAAAAAATTTGATTTTCATTGAACTTAGTTCACAAAAGACTAAAAAGAATTGTCAAAAGTATCAACTTTATGCACAGCACAATAAGAAAGTGCAATACCATAATTGTCTAAATTCTCTGAAGTTCTAGGTAGTTGAATATTAATTAGCTGAATATTGAAACAAAGAGTAAGTTTGATAGAATACAAGAAACACAAAACAACAGCAAATATTATACACTAAGAGTAAGTCCAGATTTGAGTATTCTGAAGCCACAAATTTCATGTCCAATAAAATTGTGTAAAATAAACTTAAAATTTTAAATATTTTATATTTCTATGAATTTTTAAATCGAGTATATACTGACTCATTACCACTCCCCTTGGGCTTCCCAGGTAGTAAATCCTACGGAAGTAGATTGCCCCATCTTCCTTCCACGGAGTGGCTGGTGCGTTTGAACCACCAACCTTCTGTGGTTAGCAGTCAAATGCCTTAGGCACTGTGCCACCAGAGCTCCTTAGAAAATTTAGCTGCTACAAATTTTCAAGATACGTTATAAATCGTGTACCTTCAGAATACCTTGTATAAATGACTATAAAGAGATCACAACAATATATGCTAAGAAACACACACAGAAACATGCACGCATTGTGTTCTCTTTTTCATTTTAACTGGAACCAATTGAAAATGGCTTTTCACTTTAAATTTCAATGAAATCTTAAAATTCTTGTAAGGATTACGACGGTCACATATGTAACTTCTAAGCTGTATAAATCACAGTTATCCAGACTGTAAGTCTTAACAATGACAAAAAAGAGCAATTAAGATTAAGCAAAACATGCTTAACATCTGATTAATAGAAGCATTACCCTTTCTGCAATTATCAGGTGGGTATGTGATTCATGCATTATGAATTAAATTTTGAGAAAAACTTTCTCATAATTATTACCTAATGAAATTTGGAAATGAAATACCACTTTTGAAAAAATTCTTACTCAGATATATGTGAGTGTTCTTGATGTAACATTTCTTAATATTAAAAGGTTACTGCTTTTTAATTATGTGTGTGTTTTTCTATTTCTTATTAAAATTTTAGGTACATTTTATGGATCAGCTTCTTTGTACAGTCTGTTAAATTATTAATGAAATTGCCCTGAATTTATAAAAACTGGTCTCCTCAAATGACTGCTTACTGTAAGCTGGCTGCGAGTGATACATCTGTCTTTTCTTGTTTGTGGAGATAGAGTTGTTAGCATTGAAATCAAGAAAAACTATTCAGATGATGTAGCCTCTTTGCGTAATATCTACTGGTGAGGCTTCCTTGGAAATTCTAAAGAACAGGTTCAAAAGGCATTCCTTGTTCCTAGCCTTAAAACTGAAGCTAATATGCCATTGAGAATCTCTGGCCAGTGTGCCTTAAATATTGAAATATTTCCTGTAGCCAGTATTTAGAGACATTCTCACAAATCAGGCTTGTCTTTTGGAATTCTATAGAAATCCTTAAGGGGGTTAGGGGTTAAAATCTACCGAACTGAAAATCTAAACTAACCTAATACAGATATCTCCATTGTTTGTTGCATTTTTAAGCAGTAATCATATGAAAAGTTGCATATTGGTTTATTATACATTTTTAATATGTGATATTATGGAAAGCAATAAATTTTGATGGTGCTTCAATCTTTAAGGGCCTTAGGAGGGCACTGACTATGCCAATTTCTTGTCCTCCTCAAGTGTCAATGTTTCCCAGATTTGCCTGATGACAAGAATCATTGGGAAGCTTAAAGTCTGAGTCTCATCCCTACGTTGTTGTTGTTGTTGTTATGTGCCGTCGAGTCAAACCCGACTCATAGCGACCCCTCCTTGGGTTTCCGAGGCAGTATCACTACGGAAGTAGGATTGCCCAACCTTCCTTCCGAGGAGTGGCTGGTGGGTTTGAACCGCTAGCCGTCTGGTTAGCAGGCAAGTGTCTTAGCCACTATGCTACCAGTTCCTGCTTAAAAATTCCCAGGGAAGGATGCTGGGAATCTGTGGATTTCAGAGTACTCTAGCTACATCTCATTACTTCACATGATTGGGAACCACTTAACTCTCCCACTAAAACAATTAATTATTCCCTATTGTAGTCAGTCAGGATTGCCAGATTCATTTCTAAACAAGAAGTGTTAGGTGTCATTGACAGTTAAAATGTTGGAGCTCCTCATTTAAAGTTTATTTCCTCAGATGTCTACTTTCTAATGTGGAATACATGACATTAAGTGTTTAAGAGACTTCAGCACCATCAGATGTAACTTCTAAAGTTTTCTAAAATTTTACTGCCTGGAAGATGAGATTAGCAATTACATTGCCTTTATAATGGGGCCCTGGTGATGCAGTGATAAAACATTCAGCTGTTAACCTACAGGTCAGCAGTTTGAAACCATCAGCAGCTCCATGGGAGAAAAGACTCTACTATACGCTTCCACACAGATTACAGATGGGGAACTCCTATGAGGCAGTTCCACTCCATCATGTAGGGTTGCTATCAGTCAGAATCAACTCAAAGGCACACAACAATATTGCCTTTATATAAAAACTATTTTGCAAAAGGATTGCACAGTTGGGATTTTTTGAGTTAAATATATGCACATTCACATAGAGAGGGGAATGGATTAATAACTTACTGGATCTCTGGTTTTTAATGAAAAATAACTTTAGCCTCTCTTTAAATGTGTTTTCATTCATATAGAATTCAACTTGTACCCTGTAAACAGAAAAAAAAAAGTAAGTTTATGTGAGTTCCAGTATCTTTACTTTTATGAAAATCATTTAAATGTAAACTAATTTTATAATTTTGTAATTTATAATCTAAAGACTAATATGTAAGAAAATAAAAATAAATTATTTAATTTAATACATAAGTTAATTTCTCACCACAGAAAATGACAATTGAGTAAAATTCTCAATTTTTGGAGATAAATGGTTACTGTCTATTTTTAAAAAATATAGTCAGTTAAGATATCATATAGTCAATTCAATTATCTTTGTAAATGAGTATAATCAGCCTTATAGATAATTCAAAAAAGTTAATAATATGAGGTTCCTTAACATGTGTCTTTGAAAGAATTTCAAATCAGTTTTCCACCAATATTCATGCTCTATAATAAAAATCATGGTGATGCTTGAATAATTCAGTTCAGATGGTGCCATTCTAGGTTTACAGAATCAGAATCATAAAGGACAAGACCTGAATATCTACTTTTAAGAACTCTTTCCATCCATGTAGAGACTATTTTGGATATCACATTATGTGACACTTAACCTTATTTATATATTTAGACTCATGTTAAAATACAAGTGAATCAATAATGGAGTGACTCATAGAATGTTAAATTTACTACAGATAAGTTATAAATCAGATTAACTCAATACAGGCACTGACCTTTATAGAGCATATTATCTCGGTAAATGGGACTGAATCTTAACTCATTAGAAAGCAATATTAAGAAACTAAAAAATTAAATACCATAAAAAATTAGCATCATTTAATAAATGTATTTGCTGTTGTTAGGTGCCACCGAGTCAGTTCCAACTTAGCTACTCTATGTACAACAGAATGAAATACTGCCCTTTCTTGCACCATCCTCACAGTCTTTGCTATCTCTGAACCCATTGTGACAGCCGCTGTGTCAATCCATTTCACTGAGGGTCTTTCTCTTTCTCACTGACCCTCTTCTTTAGCAAGGATGTTGTCCTTTTCCAGGCACAGGTCCCTCCTGGTGACTTGTCCAAAGTATGTGAGACCATACTTATAAGGAGCATTCTGGCCATACTTCTTCCAGGACAGATTTGTTCATTCTTCTGGCAATTCATGGTATATTCAATATTCTTTGCCATCATCATAATTCAAATGCATCAATTCTTATTCGGTGTTCGTTATGCATTATCCAGCTTTTGCAAGCATACAAGATGACTGAAAATACCATGGCTTGGCTCAGGCACACTTTAGCCTTCAAAGAGACATCTTCACTTTTTAACACTGTTAAGAGATCTTGTGCAGTAGATTTTCCCAATATAATATGTTATTTAATTAATTTACTTTTCCCTTGTATTCTAGCAAAATACCTCTTATGTGACAGGGGCACACTTAATATCTTCAAAATAATGATTGAAAATAACTGTGCCTAATGATTTGTAAGTAATCATCACATGAAATTTTATTAATTAAATAGTCTTGAATCCATTTATTATAAGTTAGGATTCTAAAAAGAGGTAAGAAAGCATTTTAATTTTTAAATAAACAACAAATATTTCATTTTATTTGTTCTAATATAACAAAATCTTGATGATAAATGTATTATTTCACAAATATACATAAGGAAGAAAAATAATTGGCATTAGGGTACTTACATATTAGAGAAATATGTCATACTATATTACCTTGGGGAGCTCTGGTGGCGTAGTGCCTAAGGCATTTGACTGCTAACCAGAAGGCTGACAGTTCAAACCCACCAGCCACTCTTCTGAAGGAAGATTAGGCAATCTACTTCCTTAGTGATACTCCCTCGGAAACCCAAGGAGGGTCATTATGAGTCGGATTAGACTTGACAGCAGTGAAATATTATCCTATAATCTTTCTAATATGCTGTATATTCAAGAAGTCAGAAGAATCATTTAAAAAGCAGTCTCATGCCACAAATGTAAAAGGGCTTTTTGTATCTACTGCAACCCAAGTTTTATCTGTTATCCCTTCAAAAAAAACTGAATGTTCACCAACTTTTATCTCTTATCCCTTAAGAAATTTTCCATCTTCAAACAATTTTAGTTCTTTTTTATCACTTCTTCATTATTTTTTGATCTTTTGATTTTTTTCACCTGATACATAAAATGAAAGGACAGAAATCTAGATTGTTTTCACTTGCTAATTTCTCCAGAAAGCAAGCTTTAAGATTACGATACATTCCAGAAGAATATTTCCACACAAGCCTGTGTGTGTATTCCCAAGATACATACATACACAAACCTATACACGCATACAAGTACTAACGTGTACCAACATGCATATTTGCAGACATAAAATTCCATTAGGCTCTTGGAAAACCATCACTGAATCTGTTTTCCTCATTTATCAAATGAATTTGACAGCTAACCAGAAGGCTGGCAATTCTAACCCACCAGGCACTCCTTGGAAGAAAGATTGGGCAATCTACTTCTGTAGAGATATTGCCTCAGAAACCCAAGGAGGGGTTGCTATGAGCCCAACTGACTTGACAGCAGTAAGTTGTTTGGAATACTTATATCACACTAAATTAGTTTCATTTGAGGTAGATGCAAAAGCAGATTTCAGAGGACATAGCATACAAATAACTCAGCCAAAGCCATGCAGATTTCCAACAGAGTTAAAAAAAAAAAGTATAAGTATAAATGCCCATTATTTAGGTAATATATGAAGCTAAGTACTGAGTATTTAAGCCAAGTGTATTATTGAACTAAAATAAGAAAATCTAAAGCCTTAAAATGTTGAATGTGATGATTAGTTTTATATATCAACTTGGTTAGGCTATAGTAACAAGTTACTCATTTTAAACACTAATGTAGGTGTTACTGTGAAAGTATTTTGTATATGTGGTTAACAGCTACAATCAGTAGACTTTAAATAAAGATTACCCTCAACAATCTGGGTGGATTTCATCCAATCAGTTGAATGCCTTTAAGAGGAAAACTGTGATATTGAGGGTTCCCTCCGTAAAAAGAAATTGCACCTGTGCAATGGAACTTCAGCTCCTGCCCGTTTCTAAATTTCTACACAACCAATTTCAAATTTGTCAGCCCCTTATGTAATCTAGTTCCTTGAAATGAATAATTTAGGAATCTCTTTAGAAATATCCTGTGAAATTTTAGGAATATCTTGTGTTGTTGTTAGGTGCCATCGAGTCAGCTCCTACTCATAGTGACCCCGTGTACAACAGAAAGAAACACTGCCTGGTCCTGTGCCATCCTCACAATTCTTGCTATACTTGAGCTGCTGCCACTGTGTCAATCCATCTTGCTGAGGGTCTTTGCCTTTTTTGTTGACCCTCCACTTTACCAAGCATATCCTTTTCCAGGGAATGATCCCTTCTGACAACAAGACCAAAAGTAGGTGAGGTGAAGTCTGGCCATTCTCCCTTCCAAGGAGCATTCCAGCTGCACTTCTTCCAAAACAGATTTGTTGTTCTCCTGGCAGTCCATGGTATTTTCAGTAATCCTCACCAACACAATTATAAAGCATCAAATCTTCTTGGGGCTTCCTTATTCATTGTCCAGCTTTCACACGCATATGAGGCAACTGAAAATACCACTGCTTGGGTTAGGCACACTTTAGTCTTAAAAGAGATATCTTTGCTCTTCAGTACTTTAAAGAGGTCTTTTGCAGCAGATTTGCCGAGTGCAATATGATGTCTGATTTCTTGACTGCTCCTTTCATAGGTACTGATTGTGGATCCAATGAAAATGAAATTTTGGACAACTTCTATGGTTTCTCCATTTATTGTGATGCTTATTGCTCCAGTTGTAAGGACTTTTGTTTTCTTTATGTTGAGTTGTAATCCATACTGCAGACTGTAGTCTTTAATCTTCACAAGTTAAGTGCTTCAAGTCATCCTCACTTCCAGCAAGCAAAGGTGTATTGTCTGCAAATCACAGGTTGTTAATAAGTCTTCCTCCAATCCTGATGCCACATTCTTCTTCATATAGTCCAGCTTCTCAGATTATTTGTTCAGCATACAGACTGAATAAGCATAGTGAAAGAATGCAACCCTTATGCATACCCTTTCTGATATAAAACCATGCAGTATCCTCTTGTTCTGTTCAAACAGCAGCCTCTAGGTTTATGTACAGGTCATGAGCACAATTAAGTGTTCTGGAATTCCCATTCTTCACAATGTTATCCATAATTTGTTATGACCCACAAAGTTGAATGCTTTTGCACGGTCTATGCAACACAAGTAACCATGTTTCTGGTATTCTTTGCTTTCAGCCAAGATCCACCTGACATTAGCAATGATTACAGACTCATTCCATATCCTCTTCTGAATCCAGCTTGCATTTCTCAAAGTCCCCTATCAATATACAGCTACAATCATTTTTTTAATTATCTTCAGTAAAATTTTACTTGTGTGTGATATTAATGATAGCATTTGATAATTCCCACATTCTTTGGAATGTGTACAAAAATGGATCTCTTCCAGTCAATTAGCCAGATAGCTGTCTTCCAAATTATTTGACATAGACAAGTAAGGGCTTCCAGAATGGCAAATGTTTCCTGAAACATCTCAATGGGTATTCCATCAATTCCTGGAGGCTGCTTTTGTCAATTCCTTCAGTGCAGCTTTGATTTCTTCCTTCAGTACCATGGATTCTTGATTATATGCCACCACCTAAAATAGTAGATCATTAGCCAGTTCTTTTCAGGAGAGTGACTCTGTGTATTTCTTCCATCTCTGTTTGATGCTTCCTCCATTGTTCAATAATTTGCCCATAGAATCCTTCCATATGCAACTTGAGGCTTGAATTTTTTTCTTCATTTCTTTCAGCTTGAGAAATGCTGAGCATGTTCTTCCTTTTTGGTTTTCTAACTCCAGGTCTTTGCACATTTCATTATAATACTTTACTTTGTCTTCCTGAGCTGCCCTTTGAAATCTTCTGTTCAGTTCTTTTGTTTTAGCATTTCTTCTATTTGCTTTAGCTACTCTATGTTCAAGGCAAGTTTCAGAGTTTGTTCTG